GTTTCCCCTCGGGGAGAACCCCTTGGTCTTGAGCCACCACTGTAGGGGTCTCATGTACAGCAGGCCAAAAGGAATCATGTTGGATGCAGCTGCCATCAGACCCAACAGTCTCTGAAACTGTTTGACAATGAGTGACTGGCCTAGCTTCACCCTCTTCATGGCTGCAAGGATCAACTCAATCCAAGCAGGAGACAGATGTGCCTGCATCGTGGTTGAATCCCATACCACACCCAGATAAGTGATTCTCTGTACTGGAGAAAGCACACTTTTCTTGGCATTCAGCCATAACCCCAACTCTTTCATATGGTTGAAGAAGACATCTCGATGCCGAACCGCCGTCTGTTCTGATTGAGCTAATATCAGTCAAGATTGAGCTAATATCAATCAAGTCAAGAGGCGACGCTCCGTTTCTGAGCCTCTCAATATGAGGAGCTGCAAGACAGTTGGGGCTACTCCCGCCCAGCAGCCCCAAGGACCTGAGAGCAGCGAAGGAGGAACCGCTGGAATGCCGCCGACTGCTTCTTAGCTTCCTGTAACTTGTCAACAACATCATTGACTGCATCACTGAACAGGCCAGTAGGCGCAAGCAGGGCATCCAGCAGGAAGAACCTGTCCTTTTCTTTGATTTTGGACAGGTTCAACCAGAGATGCCTCTCCATAGCCACAAATGGCTGCCATAGACCGACCAATAGCTCTGGCGGTCTCTTTGGTGGCCCAGAGAGACAAATCTGCAGTCCGATGAAGCTCTTTAATGTCGTTGGACCTGACCTCCTCGCCCTCATCAAGATCCTTTAGCAGGTCGGCTTGGTAAGCCTGCAATCAGGGCTGAAGATGCGGGCTGAAAACGGTTTCCCCCATGATCTAGACACCTCAGTGTGCAGATCGGGAAAAAACAAGGCCGCAGCTGGAGGTAGTGGCCTAGAACGCAAGAAACGATTGTCCAGCTTACTCTTAGGACGATCGTACTTCTTCTCGGCAGGCCAATCGATCTTAAGCTTGGCCACCACCCTTGTCACTACCTCCAGCAGCTTCTCATACTGGATGGACTGAGGTGGCGAGTCCTCAGCCTCATCTTGTTCGATGCCCACCACATCACCCTCCTTGGAAGGTGGAGCATCGAGCTCTCTCCATGGGGGGAAGAAACCGCAGAGTGTGCTTCCGATCCCTTAGAGAGAGCGCTAGATCTGGAGGTTGAGGGCGAAGAAAGGGACAGGCCCATCTCCAACCCCTCCAACAGATTAATTTGCAATCCCAATGACCGCAGCCACCGCTCTGCCTCGGCAGAAGCGGGACCCGAGCCGTAAAGAAAGCTTGTCAGAGCTCCCTCCTTGAAGAGCGCCTGTTGGGAGCAGAGCATGTGCAGTGAGAGTCGCTCACAATGCGGACAGTCAGCCCCCTCGAGAGCTGACTGAGCATGCTCCACTCCCAAACAAACAAAGCAAAGATCATGAGTATCCCCACCCGTAATGAAGCACGGGCAGGGAGGGACACAGGCTTTCTCACACTCACCATAACCAAGTTGTGCACTGGCACAAACACACACACACGTTTCTCAGACAAACGGAGACACAGAACGCTTACTGAAGAAGCAGAAGCTAACACTGTTTACACCAGACATGCAGTTAAGCTTCCTGGTTGCTACGTCATCCCGCCTATGACGTCTCGCCATTCCATTGGATGGATTTCACACGTGCTTCAGAGTGTGGTCACGCAGAGGTGTTCCCATAGTGTTTTGACGCAGGTCGAGTTCCTGACGGAGAACAACACATTATATTATTAAGCTCATACAATATATAATAATAATAATAAAGGTAGGATTTTATTATTAATGGGGTTTTAAAAGGATTTGTAGTGCCTACAAGGATTTGTAGTGTAGTGCCCCAGTGCCTATAGCATTTTAATTATTTTTAATTACACAGATGAATTCCTACAACTGTGTTCTGTTGTGCCTGTGCATGTTAAACTGGTCACAGCATGGAAAACGTACATGCAATACATAACTAGTGTTTGACTAATGTATATTCCTCTACCAAAGTCTCTCTCACTCATTTTCTTGCTCTCTCTCACTTGCTCCTTCGTCCTTGAGCTATCTGTCCAGCTCATCAGATGCTCACTCCACCCTTACCTTAGCCATTGGCTTCCCAGCAGCACTCGTTGTCTGGCTGCCCACAGCTGCTTGACTTAATGTTCATATTGGCCACCATTGCCCCATCCCATGATTGGATTATACCAGCAAGCCTGCCATATCTGATTGATACCCCTTGGGCTTTTTTTTTTTTCTTCTTCTTTTCTTTTCTTTGGTAGAAACATTTCAGAGAAAGATAATGATGAGGTGAATGTTTCCTACAAGGTTTCCTCAAGGGGAGAGTCAGAGTAACATATTTAATCTTGAAACATGTTGTACAGTACATCCTGATGCAATACCCCACCAAGCAGGTGAAAATGTAGCTGTAGGTATCTGGGTTTCATCCAATAGTTGCATCAAGTCTGTGGGCTCATTTGTTTTACACTAAGGAGTACTGCATTATTAGTGGATTAAATTATATCAGGACCAATACAGGACCCACACACATTCTCTAAAAGTACTTCCCATGTAAACTCACTATATCATTATATAGCAGTTTCTCTTCTATCTCCCTCTTCCTCATCCTGTCACCATGTCCTGTCAAGATTGTGGTGGCTGCATGCATTCTGTGTGAGGCATGGTGTGTGACAATGTTTTACTAGATGTAGAAGATCCTCAGCCCATATGGGATGTTTTGTTTGATCTTAAAGCAGGACATTGTGACATTTGAAGAGTTATCAGCCCATTTTGTACATGTAATATGGGAATAAATAAAATGTAAAAAAAAAAATTACAAATTTTTTGCACATGCACATTGATCCTGATGGAGAGGTAGAGCATTATATGGCTTTGGAAGGCAATCAGCACATTTATCAAGATATTAAAGAACTAGATATATACATTTTCCTAAAGGAAATATCAGTGCTTGCAAAGCCACAAACAATAGTGTTAAAAAGGCATGCAAGATATAATGGTTCTATATCAGCTATCACCTAATAGTAACCTGATATTGGGTATTTTATTGTTCATACTTAATTCTCTATTTTTACAATACCTTTGTCATCATCTAACACTCACTTATATATAACTACATTTAGACCGCTTAACTTAGTCATTGCTATCAGGATGTGAAGAGACTTTCAAGAAGCATAACAAAAATGTTTTTGAACCAAATCAACTACCCTGCCTTTAAAGCTTTTGAGTTTTTTGAATGTACGAATAAATGGCAATTGTCTAAAAGGGATAAACATAACATCAGCTTGTAGCTCTTGTAGCACTTTCAGGCACTATAATTTAATTTTGACATGCATATAGTATGATCCAATGGCTGCTTGCTTCAAGTGCTGTTGTATATGATCACATTTTGATATGCAGGTATCTGCATCAAACTCATGCCAACCCATGAGTTGCACAGTGCATGATGATTTAATTTAGGTGGCTTATGAACATCATGGAACCTCATTGCAACATCATGCCCACCTTTTGACAGTGCCATTGGGATTTGTCTCTCCACTTCTCGGCTTCCTCAGAGATGAGATGAGGTCTATGGGTAATTGAGACAAGGTGCACCTCCCTCCACTCTAGACCGGAGTTCATTATAGCAAATCCAGTGTGAGATATTAAGTGGCAACTTCACATCAAAGCTTTTAACAGGCGTCACTGAAGCAAATGATGCCCCTAATACACCAATGCCAGACTTTGATGTGTGCTGAGCGAAGATATTCCAGTATTTTCGCTCCCAGCATGCCTAAAATATTATTTTCATACAATCTCACTTAAGAATTATCGCACCGAACAGAGAAGAATCTCAAATATAGAGTGGATAGGGATGCAGCACATTTCCTCAATTAACAACCATGACCTGCTATCTTAGTTTTGGTCAGTTTAGCTTGATGGGCTCGGTTTGATGGGCACCTCTCTTGTGTCTCCTCCTGAAGGTAATGGGTCGATGAAAAGCATACAAGTAAACCACCAGCCTCCCATTAAACTGGCTGGGCTGGTGGCCGGGGCCAAGTATCGGTTGCGGGTGTATTCCCATGAGCATAACTCCATCAGCAGCGACTATGTCACGTTCGAGACAGGCAGAGGTAGGAGTGGCCAAGACACAAGGGAGAAAGAAAGGGTTCAACATGTGACCTCGACCTACAGCAAACTGTATTTTGTCATATTTACAAATGAGTAACTGTCACTGGTAACTGGTAAAGCATTGTGCTAGCAACGCCAAGGGCATGGGTTCATTTCCCAGAGAACAAAAATTATTTTGTGAATTTGTCATTGAAGATAATTTTTCGAAGCTTCAGATGCATTAGCAATCTTATTTTTCCAGCAGGATGCATACTGTATGTGCCTCAAGTGGTGCGAGCAAGATAAAATCTCACGGCATTTTGTGTAAGAGCACGCTCAATAAGATATTGATCCTCATGATGAAAAGAGTCCTTGAGCCGTGTAAATGCCATTTTAGGTGGGATGTTTGTTCTGTTTTTCAGGTATAGAAGATTGATCTCATAATCTTCTCTCTCACTGATTGATCCCTCTGTGATTTTCCACATAAAAATGCCACTATCATTATTATATTATATTACATATTTTATGTATTTATTTTTATTTTATTTTATTTTATTGAAATTAAGTGTTCGACAAGCACATAAGATGCAATGTTCAAAAGTTTGGGTACAGTAAAAAAAGTTTAAAGAAATTAATAGTTTTATTCGGCAAGGATGCAATAAATTGTTCAGTCAGGATAGTAAAGACATTTAAATTTATATGTATAACTTATATTTATAATTTACAAAAGACTTCTATTTTAAATAAATGTCTATTTATCACAGAATCACGAAAAATATGTATCACAGTTTCCACGAATATATTAAGCAGCACAACTGTTTTCTGATGGATAATGTATATCCAAATGCCTTTCAATAGAGAACTGGAAAAACAAATAGTCCATTCTCTAGAACCACTTTATAATATCAGGAGAGACTAAAATGTTTTGCAAGATGCATCTATTAAAAAGAGTGTTTTTTGAAAAGGGGAGTATTTGATGATGCGGTTAAACCGAGCTTTACTCAGGTTCCGTTTTCATCAGATAACTCTTCATGGAGAGAGTGTCCTGTGCTCTGATGTTATTATCAGGATGGGTAATTCAAATCCAGATCTGTTGTTCTCTCCGCTAATGTGTTTTTGATAAAGGATGGCTGTCAAATGACTCCTACCATGTTGCTGAAATTCAGTGAGATTAATTAGGGTCTCCATTTAGTGTTAGTGTGTTCAGCTGTTCTCCAGACTCGATAAAGCATGCAGAAAGAGACCAAGCTTCTTAATGTGTAAAATGATCTGTGGGAGTTGATTTCTGCCATTCTAGCTTATGTGTATACCGTTACGAAACTTAAACATTCTGTACCTCTCTTTTTCTCCTCCCCGCCTCACTGTGTGTGTTTGGTTGTTAACAGCCTACAAGGAGCAGGAAGACATTGCTACTCAGGGCTGGTTCATTGGGCTGATGTGTGCCGTCGCTCTATTGGTTCTCATCCTGCTCATTGTTTGTTTCATCAAGAGGAGTCGTGGAGGAAAATACCCAGGTAAATGCAGTAAATACACGAGGCACAGGTGATCACTTTCCATAAATCGTAATATATTAACCCAGGGTTGTTTATTTATGATATGTAAGTGATCTTTCTTTTGATGCATTTCAGTTGCAGTTTTGAATTTGCATGACCCTTATCAACTGTTTTATGTATGGCTGTTTTTTTTTGTGTTTGTGTTTTTTTATCAGTGAGAGAAAAGAAAGACCTCCCCTTAGATGCTGTTGACCATAAAGACCAAGATGGTTCATTTGACTATCAGTAAGTTTGCACTTTTGATCACTTTTACCATAAACGTAAGCTTTTTCCATAAACAGCGGGTTCATATTCGGGAAAGGGCTTTCAATAATCTTACTTTAGAATTGTTAATATGCACTCTCTGCTATTTACGATATTGAACCTGTTGACGAATAACTTTGTTTTACCTGTTACAGGTCCTGAACTTTGCTCTCACCCTGCAGAGGGGAAAATGCCTTTCTCATTTTAATCAAAAATAACAACTAACCAAGTAAACCAAACGAATATTAAATAACAAATTACATAAATACCCTCAAAAACATTTGTCGATGAGGCTTTTGTATTAAACACAAAATAAGCTTGCTGGTGGTTAATAGATCTGTTTGCTGACCAGCAGTTGGAAAACAATGCACCAGATTCTCAGGAAACTGTGTTTGCCGTGGAGTTAAAAACTCTCCAGTGCACATCTTATCACCATCCTCACCAACATCAGTTACTGTAAATGAGTCCTCCCTGTACAGTTCTATCTCTGCTCTCTAAACCAGACAGATCTCATAACTTCACACCCTGAAGTCCTATAATGGCAGAAAGAAATCAGTGTGCACTGTGTTCACACTGCCCCAACAAACACCAACGTCCAGCGCTTGACAATCTTACTTTAGTATTATTTATATACTATCATAGTGTTTATTAATATTTTGAATAAAAATACGAACTTTTATTTTTAGATTTTCAGTTTTCATTTTAATTTGTCAGTTATGCTATATGCTTTTATTACTTTTATTTCAGTTTTATTAAGTTTAATTCATCAGCTTAAGCTTATTTACAGCAAGTGCAACATTTTTTTCATCTAATATTTATATATATATATATTTTTTTTAGATTTATTTCAATTAAAAAAAAACTATTTTGAATCATTTTAGCTTAAGTGAACAATAACAGCACTGGTGCTTGATGGCTTTTGTTCGGCTCAGTGTGTTACCCTGTTGGCATTTGTTAAGGCAGTGTGAACTTTAACAAACAAACTTTTTTTCTACCCGTCATCCTTAGTTTGTTTTCAAGGTTTTGTTGTATAAGCCCATATCTTTCAAGATGGTGTGGATATTACAACCTGGATGCAAAGAGTAAAGGGAAGTGTCAGTGAGGGCTTTAGGCAGACATTATATGTCTAAACCAATATCTCTAGCTTGATAAGCTAATAATTGTCATGCTACTTTCACTTGTTGCGAATGTACTATAGCAACACTTCAAACTAAAAAAAAATTCAGTTGGATGACAACATAAATAGTCTAATATTGTAGTTAGCTATTTTTTGTTAGTAAATTTGAACATGTTAACTTTCAAAAAGGTAGCTTGATTAACGTAGCAAGCTAAGCATGTGCTGTGTCTGAAATCGCTCACTCGTTCACTCATTCACTAATTCCTATATAACGTATGGCAGTTGAGTGCACTCTGTTAGCAAGGAGTGACAAAATTAAGTGAGAGAATCTGGGGTGGGTTTTAGGAAATAGTGCTTTAGCCAGTGTACGTGGGATATACGCTCAAAGAGTGCATTACTATATAGGGTATAGAGAGCGGTTTCAGATACAGCAATAGCTTCTCCAATACTGCATCTAAGCTACATTTGACATATCTGTAGAAATGTAACATGGATTTATAGTTTGATTTAATGTAATCCTCTTAACCACTAATTAAAAAACTTGCTCTAACCATTTAGACTACAGCATTTTTAATAAAACCGCTCGTGTGTCACAGCAGTTTAATTATTAACAGTTGCATGATATTAAATGGTTTGCCTTTTGTCAAAGCTGATTCACTTTGAAGAGATCAAGGCCACATATCTTCAGTAACTGATTAGCTTATTCATGCTATAAATGTAAGTTTTGCTTGGCCCTCCCTTTCCACTTATGCAATGGCTCTAGCATTAACTTCTCTCTCCATCTAACATGTGAATGATGTGGTCAACTCCATCTTCATGAACCCTTTTCTTCCCCCTCCTCTATCAAATTGGCGACTGGGTTGTTAAGGAACGAGAACAGGTATTTGGTTTCACATTTTAATCAAAAATAACAACTAACCAAGTAAACCAAACGAATATTAAATAACAAATTACATAAATACCCTCAAAAACATTTGTCGATGAGGCTTTTGTATTAAACACAAAATAAGCTTGCTGGTGGTTAATAGATCTGTTTGCTGACCAGCAGTTGGAAAACAATGCACCAGATTCTCAGGAAACTGTGTTTGCCGTGGAGTTAAAAACTCTCCAGTGCACATCTTATCACCATCCTCACCAACATCAGTTACTGTAAATGAGTCCTCCCTGTACAGTTCTATCTCTGCTCTCTAAACCAGACAGATCTCATAACTTCACACCCTGAAGTCCTATAATGGCAGAAAGAAATCAGTGTGCACTGTGTTCACACTGCCCCAACAAACACCAACGTCCAGCGCTTGACAATCTTACTTTAGTATTATTTATATACTATCATAGTGTTTATTAATATTTTGAATAAAAATACGAACTTTTATTTTTAGATTTTCAGTTTTCATTTTAATTTGTCAGTTATGCTATATGCTTTTATTACTTTTATTTCAGTTTTATTAAGTTTAATTCATCAGCTTAAGCTTATTTACAGCAAGTGCAACATTTTTTTCATCTAATATTTATATATATATATATTTTTTTTAGATTTATTTCAATTAAAAAAAAACTATTTTGAATCATTTTAGCTTAAGTGAACAATAACAGCACTGGTGCTTGATGGCTTTTGTTCGGCTCAGTGTGTTACCCTGTTGGCATTTGTTAAGGCAGTGTGAACTTTAACAAACAAACTTTTTTTCTACCCGTCATCCTTAGTTTGTTTTCAAGGTTTTGTTGTATAAGCCCATATCTTTCAAGATGGTGTGGATATTACAACCTGGATGCAAAGAGTAAAGGGAAGTGTCAGTGAGGGCTTTAGGCAGACATTATATGTCTAAACCAATATCTCTAGCTTGATAAGCTAATAATTGTCATGCTACTTTCACTTGTTGCGAATGTACTATAGCAACACTTCAAACTAAAAAAAAATTCAGTTGGATGACAACATAAATAGTCTAATATTGTAGTTAGCTATTTTTTGTTAGTAAATTTGAACATGTTAACTTTCAAAAAGGTAGCTTGATTAACGTAGCAAGCTAAGCATGTGCTGTGTCTGAAATCGCTCACTCGTTCACTCATTCACTAATTCCTATATAACGTATGGCAGTTGAGTGCACTCTGTTAGCAAGGAGTGACAAAATTAAGTGAGAGAATCTGGGGTGGGTTTTAGGAAATAGTGCTTTAGCCAGTGTACGTGGGATATACGCTCAAAGAGTGCATTACTATATAGGGTATAGAGAGCGGTTTCAGATACAGCAATAGCTTCTCCAATACTGCATCTAAGCTACATTTGACATATCTGTAGAAATGTAACATGGATTTATAGTTTGATTTAATGTAATCCTCTTAACCACTAATTAAAAAACTTGCTCTAACCATTTAGACTACAGCATTTTTAATAAAACCGCTCGTGTGTCACAGCAGTTTAATTATTAACAGTTGCATGATATTAAATGGTTTGCCTTTTGTCAAAGCTGATTCACTTTGAAGAGATCAAGGCCACATATCTTCAGTAACTGATTAGCTTATTCATGCTATAAATGTAAGTTTTGCTTGGCCCTCCCTTTCCACTTATGCAATGGCTCTAGCATTAACTTCTCTCTCCATCTAACATGTGAATGATGTGGTCAACTCCATCTTCATGAACCCTTTTCTTCCCCCTCCTCTATCAAATTGGCGACTGGGTTGTTAAGGAACGAGAACAGGTATTTGGTTTCAGCACATCATCTCAGCCTGAGCATGTCATTGGTTAGCCTACAAGTAGATGACAAAATGAGGACTAAAGCTGCTATCTAATCAGTGTTTGAGCTCTTCAAAGGTGTTAAACTCCTGGGTCCTTTTATTTTTAATGCATTCCAGCAATTGTATGAAAGTAAACATACCATGTCCTAACCAAACACAACGCGATAAAGCAGCTAGGGCTAAAAGCCAGCTACTAGCAGCTAGGTGTGGATAGTGACAGGATGTTTTCAGGGTTTTTAAACATAAATAGGGTGACCATACGTCCTCTTTTTCCCGGACATGTCCTGGCCGGAATTTCTAAATTGCCTAAAAATGTTCGGGTTTTGGCTTTGTTTTCCTGTTGACGTGCTCTCTACTGTTCACATACATTAAATGTATGCATATTTGCATTGCTTTGATCATTTTATGTAGATCCCACCATCTCATACGCCACAATTGGTTGATTATGTACAATGCTGGCACGTTATTTGTCAGGCTACTTTTCATCATTGCCATTACCTTCATCAAGTATGATAACAATAGGAAAACACTGCCAAAGCCTAGATATTTTACATAATTTAGGAAAAAGAGGACATATTGTCACCCTCAACATAATATGTTTGGATTGGCTGGGATTGTTTGGTATCTGAAGCTTTTTTGCTTTTTTAGGAACAGCAAACTGCTTTTCACTAGAAACTTGCCAGTTTAGGACACGGTGCTGTAAACATCAGTGTGCACCACTTAAAACACTTATGGTTCATAAAAATAAATAAAATGTCAAGTACTAAAGCATTTTATTCCCTCTTAAAATAAATTTGTCTCTTTCTTATAAAAAAAATTAATCACGATTCACTAGTTTTCATTGTAAGGTTAATAATATTTTAAAAGCTGGTACTGTAATGTCAAGGTTAATTTGTCAGAAAGGAACCAAGGTACTTCCTCCCATGTTTAACACCCTTGAAATTTTGTTTAATGGAAAGCGCAGTACACAACATTCAATGACAGCATGAAATGTGAAAATGACTTTGCTTTGTTCAGAGGAAACGCAATTGAACGTAAATTTGCATGCAAGGAGTTTGCTAGCAAAATGTATGGTTTTTCAGTTCATTGAGTCTACGATACCCTTTGGCTTTCAGAATTTCTAATGCATTTCCTACAATCTGAGAGGAGAGTCTGCTGGAGATCAGAGCCCTTGGGTTTTGTCACTAATCTGTATTCAATAGGATGCCACATCTAGAAAATAAACAAAAAGCTAACAACAGATTATTTGCCTTAGGGCTGTTTATAATTATGATGTTCACTGAATCATTTTCGTTTTCCTCTTGTTTTTTTTAAGTGATGACACAAATGTTTTGTTCATTTTTTCTCACTTTTTCTCCCTCAATCATTTTTTATTATTGGGTGTTTTCCATTCCTGTTGGTCCAATGAAGGTCTCTTGAAAGGGAAAGGTATGAAAAGAGCAGCACTAATTTCATCTGCCTTTGGACTACTTAATCATGAACTAATGCATTTTTTGCCTTGCATTTTTGATTTTAATCAATTCATACATGTCCTTCTCCTTTACTATTGATGAATGATTGAAAGCATACAAAACAAAACATTTATTACTAACTTATATTCTTCCACGAAACATTCATTCTAACATGAATTCATGAATCAACATTTGATTTTGTTACAATTTACCATGTATAATAGTGAATTAATGAACTTTATTTATAGGGTTGTCAAAATATAATTTTTTTTGATGAACTATTCCTTTATAGTTTATTTGCTGAAAATGTACTCACCCCAGGCCATCCGAGATGTAGATGTTTTTTCTTCATCGGAGGATATTTGGAGAAATGTAGCATTACATCACTTGCTCGCTAATGGATCCTCTGCAGTGAATGGGTGCCATCAGAATGAGAGATTAAACAACTGATAATAACATCACAATAATTCACACTGAAAGTATCCATCAATTAACGTTTTTCTAGTAAAGTGAAAAGTTGCATGTTTGTAAGAAACAAATCCATCATTAAGGTGACTAAACCTTCGCTTTGGGCCAAAATACATAGTCCATAACAAAATTTCATAATCCATAACAACACTCCCTCAAGTGAAAAAGTCCATCGCCTGCTGTCCTTTCATATCCTAATCCACCAACATATTTGTTTAGAACAGTTTTGGACTGGGGGTTTCCTTATAAATGGGGCTTAATTTGTGCATATTTTTCTCCTGATTCAGACGAGATAAAACATCTTGATGGATTTGTTTCTTACAAACACACAGCTTTTCACTTCACAAGGCAATAATTGATGGACTTAAGTTATGTGGATTATTGTGATGTTATTATCAGTTGTTTGGACTCTCATTCTGACGGCACCCATTCACTGCAGAGGATCCATTGGTGAGCAAGTGATGTAATGCTACATTTCTCCAAATCTGTTCTGAAGAAACAAACTCTTCTACATCTTGGCCTGTGGGTGAGTACATTTTCTGCAAATTTGTATTTTTTGGTGAGCTACTCCTTTAATGTGTTAAGTTTTAAAATGGAGCAAGACAGAAAGAGTATTTACTGCCAAAATATACAGTGCTACTGTATATTTACATACAGTTCTCTATAAATTTGACTAAAACTAATATGTAATTTCATTTTACATTTTTATTTGACTGACAGCCCTATTTATTTATTTATTAATTCTTCCATTTTTTTTTTCAAAATAAAAAAATAAAAATAAATAGGCGTATACAACAAGCCCTGATTCATGCCAAATTTTGTATCATGCCATTACAGTTTTCACATATTCTGTCAAAAATGATGTACAATGAGAAATACATGTTGCTCATTGAAAATTTCCACTCACATAATTCAAGCAGGTGATACTGTGAGTGTGAGGACTGATTGATTAAATCAAAAACTCATTCTCATTATTCCCTGAACTCTTGCTGGTGCAGAGTGTGTGTTTGGTGGGGGGAAAAGCATTTCCTGAATGTGCCTTATTGAATCTAAACATTAATAACTAAACTACCATGATTTTCCAGTTGTCATGGTGCATGCACAGAACCGTGTCACCTGGTAATATCATTCCATTTATATTTAATGTACACATTTAACACAGAATTGATTCTTGTTTATAGAGAGGATACATGCAGTTGGTAAAAGCATTTTTATGACCCATAGAAATGGATAATATGATGGAGCCTGGTTGTAAACCTTGTTTTGTGAGAGGACAAAGTAGTTTACTTACATTTCGATTTAACAGCCCATCCGTAATACAATTTACAACAAGGTCCATGGATATTACATGAAATTAAAAATGGACCTCTGTGTTAAGTCAACGGTTTTTAGGATCTGATAGATGTTGTTTTCTTGGTGCTTCTCAGTTGATGTAGGTCCCAGTTCCTCATGCATGACACTCTTACCGCCCAGCAGAGGTCCGTTTTAATACGAGTCGCATGTGTTTGGGAATGGACAGGGCAGGACAGGGGATGAAAGATCCACATGTGATAATATAGTGCAATGAATCATTTATAGCCATGACATCATTTATAGAATACAAAGAGTGGAGAGAAAAGAGTTTGTCTTTGTCTTTAGTAATAAATTTGTGGTTCTTTCACCTTGGGAGTTTTTTTTTTTTCTCCTTAAAGTTTCTCAAAAGTGAGATTTTAAATGTTTTTCTCAGCATGCTCAAGTTGGAATAGTTTTTACATGGAATAAAAAGCTAAACTGTCAATTATTTTGAAAATTTCATTACATTTAGATGCCACATAATGTATCTGGGAAATAGGATTTTGACATTTTAGTATTCTTTGCCCGGTTTATCTTTATTCAGATGGCATCGAATACCTTGAGGGAATTTCAAAACTCCTGACTTTATTGGTTCACAGCCCCCCTTATCCTAGCTTATTTTCCAAGGGTTAAGATTTACACTACCCGGAGAAATGTATTTGTTCACTTTACCATTAATCTCTGTAAGGAGTTTTATTGTGATCAGTTCCGCAAGCATTTTTTAAGCCAATCATCTAAGCAGTAAATGTCATGTGACTGATAACTTTGGAGTCGTAAAAAAGTGTCACCTTGACCAGGCTGAATAGATTAACGTTATATAAATAAGGTAAATGTATGTCTATGATAATAAAATATATTGACAGAGAGAGATGGAGAGAGACACTACTGTTCAAAAGTTTGGGGTCAGGATTTTTTTTTTAATTAATACATATACGTATTATTAATACTTATAAGTCTTAAGTATTTATGATATTACAAAAAATTCCTATCAAAAAAAAAACAAACTTTTAAACTTTCTATGCATCAAAGTATCCTTAAAACAAAAAAAAAAACTTCAAACTTGATAATAATAAATTATGATCTTCTCAGAGGCAAATCAGCATATTAGAATAATTTCGGAAGGATCATGTGACACTGAAGACTGGAGTAATGGCTGCTGAAAACTCAGCTTTGATATCACAGGAATGAATTACATTTTAAATATATTGAAATAAAAAATAGTATTATAATATTGATTTTACTGTAGTTTTAATCAAATAAATGCAGCCTTGGTGAGCATGAGACTTCTTTCAAAAACTAAAAAATGATGTCATATATAATAATATAAGAAAAACATTTAAAATATATAATAAAATAATTTTTAAATTGCTTATGTTTATGTAATCATAATACATGCTTACTTTTGAATGGTTGTCTATAGAGAATCTATTGTAGTTACAACATCCACCAAAGGGTGCTACTGTAACAGGTCCATGCTAACCGGCTGAACCATGTTCTAACTCTTTTTCTCTTTCTCCCAACAGCAGTGACGAAGACAACAAGCCATTGCAGGGTAGCCAGACGTCCCTGGACGGGAACGTAAAAGAGAGCGACGACAGTCTGGTGGACTATGGTGAAGGAGGAGACGGCCAGTTCAACGAGGACGGCTCTTTCATTGGCCAGTACACAGTTAAGAAGGACAAAGAGGAGACGGAAGGAAACGAGAGCTCAGAAGCCACGTCACCCGTTAATGTCATCTACTCTCTGGCATAGTACCCTGACCTGAGCACAGCGCCCCCGAGCGGACCGGAGGGTGCCACTACACGCATAAAAATACATATATATATATATATATATACAGAGAGAATTACAAGTATTCACATACAACGCACTGGAGTGCATGATCCTTCTGAACAAGGGATGGGGAAAGGCAGGTGAGCCAAAAACGGTGTTCAGAAACCTTTGTTTAAGGTGTCCCCATGCCCCACACGGACTTTAGTGTGCCTTTAGGGCGACGGGGCGGACTTTCAAGCTTTTCATGTTGCTTATGCTCTTCTTTTTTTATTTTGTAAATCTTTAATCTGCCCCTTCCTCCTCCTCTTAACTGTAGCTAGCATCAAAGAAACAGAGATACAAGCACCAGACCTGTGACATATCAACTGTGGGTCGACTCAACTGCAGAATGTCGGCAAATACGTTTATCATATTGATAATTCCGCAGTGAATGATCCTTTTTTTCCCCACCTCAGATAAGATGCGTCCAAAAACATGAATTCTGTATACAGTGCTGGCACGGTTTGATGTGCTTTATAAAACTATGCACTATGTATTATCATTATCATGCTTTTGAGTTAAAATTGGACGTTGGAATCTCGTGTTTACTTTTTTATGTTGACTTTCGCAAAGAAAAAAAAAACATTCAGTCCTGGCTGTATTCCTGTATACAGGAACTGATATCATGCTTTCATTTGCCATTGCTCTGTTAATATATTTTCACTGGCTGCAACTATTCAATGCCACCTATATTTGTCGGCCGAGGTTAGATGGCATCACATGTAAATGAAGATAAAAAGACAATATTTTGAAGCATGGTAGTATTTTAGCGCAAAGGACAATGGAGAGGTTGTAATACGAAGAGTTAAATACACAATGATATATTCATTTTTTTTAATAAGACTTGCTTTATATAGTCCTCAAAAGAGAATGATGATGATGACGAAATGATCGCATTTGTTTTTCATTCTTTCGTTTTTTAAAATCAGCTTGGTGGAAATTTCAGCATCAGAATAAGTTTCTTCAAGGAGTCTAAAAAAGTTTGGGGTGCATCAATACATAACTGGGTTGTCATATGAGGATTTCTAGACATGAATAACTCAATATAGACATACAGAGTCGGTAATGAGAAGTGTACATATTGTTTGGGGTTGATCCAGTGTTGATTCTCTTTGTCCGGAGTTTGGCTGAGACACTGCCCTGAAGACATGCCACTGTAACTGTAGTGCCACTCTCTATCTGAGCTCTCATAATACGACCATTACTTTATCTTCTGCACTACTATGTACTTACAGTAGGGTTCAAAAGTCTGAGGCCACACTGAAAACCTGGGAGTTTTTTTAATTGCACCTGGAAATTAACAACATTTTAAGATTTGGAAAAATTGAAAACTAAAAATTGATACATTTAATGTCAACATGAAATCAAAATTCACAATTCTTCATTTTATGGAATGTTGTAGAGTTTAATATAAATTATTTGTTTGTGCACATCATTATTTAAAAAAAAAATATTTATGTGCCATTCAGTTCTCAATGGACACAATCTCCTTTCCTTTGTTCGAGAAGCTGTTTCACTCGGATTACCTCACAACAGGGAAAAAAACACGATGGCAACTTTAAGATTTAATTAAATAAGCCATTGATTCAATTGAAATAATGAGTCTCTTGTGACTTGTAACACTTCTGCATTCAAAGAGCATCTTGTGTCTTTGGATGCTCTCAAATCCTGCTGGAGGACATGATCGTTTGGTTTTACACAAACTTGAGCTCACGCAGCTTCATTTCTGCTGTCATTAAAGCAAAAGGTAAAAAAAAAAAACATATATTAAGACATTCTGAAACTTAAAATGTTTTGCTAATGACAATTTGTAATGAAAAATGTTTATTAAATTACAAAACAATGTCAGTGCATTTTCACTAGTGATCTTAAACTTTTGGACCCTTCTACATATTTATCTTGATTTGTATTTATAAAAATAATAGGGACTAATATATTAATAATTTATTGATGACTGCACAACAGCTTCTCGGAGTCTGAGCTGTGACGTTAGCACATTGTGAAAGCTTCTCTGTGAAATGTAGATGAAAACATACTTCAGAGATCAAGGACCATGTTTGTGGCGATGTAAAATATGAAATGTGATGTCACCATTAAAAGGAGTATGTCTTATTTGTTAATTGTGCTGCTCTTTTTAGTATTATTGTCATATCACTGCTATTGTGTTAATATATTAGAATTAATTTAATGTAATTTCTACATAACATAAAATGGAAATATTGTGCATTTATTTTTTTCTCAAATAAGGCCTCGAGCATGATGTAAATATCCTATTTTTTCTTTATGAGCAGGTTTATTGTGTTACAGTAAGTAAATAATTCATAATAAAAATGCTTTTTGGTGCATCCCAAAATGGAAGACTCTAGGCACAGGTTTGGATTCGGGTTCAGCCAGTGATCTTGGGTAATTTGAATGAGACTTGTTTTTGTGTCCTGTCATTTTAATCGTGACATATTTCTTCACTCACGTCCCAATTTCACCCGGCTGACACCATGATGTAAATAGCAAATGCTGTAGAGCTGTACCATTGTAGCATTCTGCACCGAGGATGATACCGTTTTTGTAAACATTTGAACTGTGTTATGCCAGAGAAAATGGTTTGTCATTTCCTGTTCATGTATTACTTCACCACAGGCTCCCATAATGCCTTTCACCTGTGACAGCCCAGCTGATCTATCATGCTCTTTGAAAGGGCTGAATATCAGGTCGTAAGTTCCTGATAGGGATGCGATGTCATATACGATGCCTTCGCAGTAAAGAAATACATGTTAATGAAATTCAATGGATCCATCAGATCTGCTTTCTCTCCAGTACCTCAAAGCAATACTTTCCTCGTTTGCCTTTCTCTGTTCTGTTTTCTGCACAGTAAGCCTAGTCTACCAGTTTTTGTAACGACTTACATGCACAGACAACTCTTTAGATCCCATGTTGCATTGCTGTAGCTTTGTGAGTCACAGTTTAACATCAAGGCAATTCAGAGTCGGTTTGAACTTATTTTGTCCAACCTTGCTGCCACTTTTATTGTCTTCACAGATTGTTCCCCTGTCCATGAGTTGTACTGGCCTCGTGATGTTCATAAAATATATACAACTATATATTTGTTGGTAAATTGCTAATCCTGTCTTTCTGCCGATGTCGGATCATCTGTGTTCTTATGAACTGGTAACATGCATAATCTAGTTACCATAAAACACAATAATTGCCACAGCTGTTCTCATGACATGTTTGATTTTTCCCAAAACCATACATGTTGATTATTATTATTATCATCCTTATTGTATTTTTAGCCACTTGTTCATCGGAGCAGCTTTTTTAATTGCTTATCATGCAGGTTCACAGTGTTTTTCTGCAAATCATAGAAATGGTCAATCATTATTGTTCAACATGTATGCGTGTATGACAAGATGCTGCAACTTAATCTGCTCGAGACGCCTTTCTTTATAGTAAAGTTGTGTCATTTTCTCAACCTTCTGATCTGTCCTTTCTGATTACAAAATAGTTCCACTTTTTAAACACCTGCTGTTTTAGTTTGTGAACTTTACACATTCCCATTGATTCATCTTTATATAGGAAGACATTTGAGTATTTTGATGATTTTATCAAAGGAAAGTGAACTTGTTAACTATTCAGAATTGGATTGAGAATGCTTTTGCAGTTCAGTTCTTGAATTTGAATTGACTTAGCAAACAGGCAGATTCAAACTTGAACAGAAGTACATAAAATTAAAATTAAATTCAAAGAAACTAGTAGTTTTTAAGTTTGTTGAAATTAAAATATATAATGTATACACACACAGACACATTATTTTTATATATATAAAATGGTTCATGTATAATTTATAACAATTATTTTATATATAAAATGTATGTATTTTATATTGTGTGTGTGTGTGCGTGTGTGTGTGTGTGTACACCTGTTTTTCTATTCTGGTGGGGACTTAAACCTGAATACACACAGACTCATGGGGACACGTGTCACGGTGGGGACCTAAATTGAGGTCCCCACGGGTAAACAAGATATTAAATCACACAGAATTAAGTTTTTTTGGAAATCTAAAAATGCAGAAAGTTTCCTGTAAGGGGTAGGTTTAGGTGTAGGGTTGGTGTAGTTCAATAGAAAATACAGTCTGTACAGTATAAAAACCATTACGCCTATGGAATGTCCCCACAAGGATAGCAACCCAGACAGTTTTGTGTGTGTGTGTGTACTTAACCATATAAGTACAAATTTGTACCCAAAAGTGAGCTAAACCTGACAAAATCTCCAAAAACCTCCCTTTGGGGACGTCCTCATTTGTAAAACTGGTATAAAAATAAAGTAAACAATGGGGGTTTTTTTTATTGTAAAAATGCAGAAAGTTTCCTGTAAGGGGTAGGTTTAGGTGTAGG